TACAGGTATTTGAGTTCAACATGTAAGAAGTAGAAAGTACAGGTATTTGTGTTCAACATGTAAGAAGTAGAAAGTACAGGTATTTGAGTTCAACATGTGAGAAGTAGAAAGTACAGGTATTTGAGTTCAACATGTAAGAAGTAGAAAGTACAGGTATTTGTGTTCAACATGTAAGAAGTAGAAAGTACAGGTATTTGTGTTCAACATGTAAGAAGTAGAAAGTACAGGTATTTGAGTTCAACATGTAAGAAGGAGAAAGTACAGGTATTTGTGTTCAACATGTGAGAAGTAGAAAGTACAGGTATTTGAGTTCAACATGTAAGAAGTAGAAAGTACAGTTATTTGTGTTCAACATGTGAGAAGTAGAAAGTACAGGTATTTGTGTTCAACATGTGAGAAGTAGAAAGTACAGGTATTTGAGTTCAACATGTAAGAAGTAGAAAGTACAGGTATTTGTATTCAACATGTGAGAAGTAGAAAGTACAGGTATTTGAGTTCAACATGTGAGAAGTAGAAAGTACAGGTATTTGAGTTCAACATGTAAGAAGTAGAAAGTACAGGTATTTGAGTTCAACATGTAAGAAATAGAAAGTACAGGTATTTGAGTTCAACATGTAAGAAGTAGAAAGTACAGGTATTTGTGTTCAACATGTAAGAAGTAGAAAGTACAGGTATTTGAGTTCAACATGTAAGAAGTAGAAAGTACAGGTATTTGAGTTCAACATGTAAGAAGTAGAAAGTACAGGTATTTGAGTTCAACATGTAAGAAGTAGAAAGTACAGGTATTTGTGTTCAACATGTGAGAAGTAGAAAGTACAGGTATTTGAGTTCAACATGTAAGAAGTCAAAGTACAGGTATTTGTATTCAACATGTGAGAAGTATAAAGTACAGGTATTTGAGTTCAACATGTAAGAAGTAGAAAGTACAGGTATTTGTATTCAACATGTGAGAAGTAGAAAGTACAGGTATTTGAGTTCAACATGTGAGAAGTAGAAAGTACAGGTATTTGAGTTCAACATGAGAGAAGTAGAAAGTACAGGTATTTGAGTTCAACATGTAAGAAGTAGAAAGTACAGGTATTTGTGTTCAACATGTAGAAGTAGAAAGTACAGGTATTTGAGTTCAACATGTAAGAAGTAGAAAGTACAGGTATTTGTGTTCAACATGTAAGAAGTAGAAAGTACAGGTATTTGTGTTCAACATGTAAGAAGTAGAAAGTACAGGTATTTGAGTTCAACATGTAAGAAGTAGAAAGTACAGGTATTTGTATTCAACATGTAAGAAGTAGAAAGTACAGGTATTTGAGTTCAACATGTGAGAAGTAGAAAGTACAAGTATTTGAGTTCAACATGTAAGAAGTAGAAAGTACAGGTATTTGAGTTCAACATGTAAGAAGTAGAAAGTACAGGTATTTGAGTTCAACATGTAAGAAGTAGAAAGTACAGGTATTTGAGTTCAACATGTAAGAAGTCAAAGTACAGGTATTTGTATTCAACATGTGAGAAGTATAAAGTACAGGTATTTGAGTTCAACATGTAAGAAGTAGAAAGTACAGGTATTTGAGTTCAACATGTGAGAAGTATAAAGTACAGGTATTTGTATTCAACATGTGAGAAGTAGAAAGTACAGGTATTTGAGTTCAACATGTGAGAAGTAGAAAGTACAGGTATTTGAGTTCAACATGAGAGAAGTAGAAAGTACAGGTATTTGTGTTCAACATGTGAGAAGTAGAAAGTACAGGTATTTGAGTTCAACATGTAAGAAGTAGAAAGTACAGGTATTTGAGTTCAACATGTAAGAAGTAGAAAGTACAGGTATTTGAGTTCAACATGTGAGAAGTAGAAAGTACAGGTATTTGAGTTCAACATGTAGTAGAAAGTAAAAAAGTACAGGTATTTGAGTTCAACATGTAAGAAGGAGAAAGTACAGGTATTTGAGTTCAACATGTAAGAAGTAGAAAGTACAGGTATTTGAGTTCAACATGTAAGAAGGAGAAAGTACAGGTATTTGTGTTCAACATGTGAGAAGTAGAAAGTACAGGTATTTGAGTTCAACATGTAAGAAGAAGTAGAAAGTACAGGTATTTGGTTCAACATGTAAGAAGAGAAAGTACAGGTATTTTGTTCAACATGTGAGAAGTAGAAAGTACAGGTATTTGTTCAACATGTAAGAAGTAGAAATTACAGGTATTGGGTTCAACATGTAAGAAGTAGAAAGTACAGGTATTGAGTCAACATGTAAGTAGAAAGACAAGTAGTTTGAGTCAACATGTAGAAGTAGAAAGTACAGGGATTGAGTTCAACATGTAGAAGTAGAAAGTACAGGTATTTGTATTCAACATGTAAGAAGTAGAAAGTACAGGTATTTGTGTTCAACATGTGAGAAGTAGAAAGTACAGTATTTGAGTTCAACATGTAAGAAGTAGAAAGTACAGGTATTTGAGTTCAACATGTAGAAGCGAGAAAGTACAGGTAATTTGAGTTCAACATGTAGAAGTAGAAAGTACAGGTATTTGAGTTCAACATGTAAGAAGTAGAAAGTACAGGTATTTGAGTTCAACATGTAAGAAGTAGAAAGTACAGGTATTTGAGTTCAACATGTAAGAAGTAGAAAGTACAGGTATTTGAGTTCAACATGTGAGAAGTAGAAAGTACAGGTATTTGAGTTCAACATGTAAGAAGTAGAAAGTACAGGTATTTGAGTTCAACATGTGAGAATAGAAAGTACAGGTATTTGAGTTCAACATGTAAGAAGTAGAAAGTACAGGTATTGAGTTAACATGAGTGTTCAACATGTAAGAAGTAGAAAGTACAGGTATTTGAGTTCAACATGTAGAAGTAGAAAGTACAGGTATTTGAGTTCAACATGTGAGAAGTAGAAAGTACAGTATTTGTGTTCAACATGTAAGAAGTAGAAAGTACAGGTATTTGAGTTCAATGTAAGAAGTAGAAAGTACAGGTATTTGAGTTCAACATGTAAGAAGTAGAAAGTACAGGTATTTGAGTTCAACATGTAAGAAGTAGAAAGTACAGGTATTTGAGTTCAACATGTAAGAAGTAGAAAGTACAGGTATTTGGGTTCAAAATGTAAGAAAGTAGAAAGTACAGGTATTTGGTTCAACATGTAAGAAGTAGAAAGTACAGGTATTTGGTTCAACATGTAAGAAGTAGAAAGTACAGGTATTTGAGTTCAACATGTAAGAAGTAGAAAGTACAGGTATTTGTGTTCAACATGTAAGAAGTAGAAAGTACAGGTATTTGGGTTCAAAATGTAAGAAGTAGAAAGTACAGGTATTTGGGTTCAACATGTAAGAAGTAGAAAGTACAGGTATTTGGTTGAACATGTAAGAAGTAGAAAGTACAGGTATTTGGGTTCAACATGTAAGAAGTAGAAAGTACAGGTATTTGAGTTCAACATGTAAGAATTAGAAAGTACAGGTATTTGGGTTGAACATGTAAGAAGTAGAAAGTACAGGTATTTGAGTTCAACATGAAAGAAGTAGAAAGTACAGGTATTTGGGTTCAACATGTAAAGAAGTAGAAAGTACAGGTATTTGGGTTCAACATGTGAGAAGTAGAAAGTACAGGTATTTGTGTTCAACATGTGAGAAGTAGAAGTACAGGTATTTGAGTTCAACATGTAAGAAGTAGAAAGTACAGGTATTTGAGTTCAACATGTAAGAAGTAGAAAGTACAGGTATTTGTGTTCAACAATGTAAGAAGTAGAAAGTACAGTATTTGAGTTCAACATGTAAGAAGTAGAAAGTACAGGTATTTGAGTTCAACATGTGAGAAGGAGAAAGTACAGGTATTTGGTTTCAACATGTGAGAAGTAGAAAGTACAGGTTACTTGAGTTCAACATGTAAGAAGTAGAAAGTACGGTATTTGAGTTCAACATGTGAGAAGTAGAAAGTACAGGTATTTGAGTTCAACATGTAAGAAGTAGAAAGTACAGGTATTTGTGTTCAACATGTAAGAAGTAGAAAGTACAGGTATTGTGTTCAACATGTGAGAAGTAGAAAGTACAGGTATTTGAGTTCAACATGTAAGAAGTAGAAAAGTACAGGTATTTGAGTTCAACATGTAAGAAGTAGAAAGTACAGGTATTTGTGTTCACATGTGAGAAGTAGAAAGTACAGGTATTAGGTTCAACATGTGAGAAGTAGAAAGTACAGGTATTTGAGTTCAACATGTAAGAAGTAGAGAAGTACAGGTATTTGAGTTTCAACATGTAAGAAGGTAGAAAGTACAGTATTTGTGTTCAACATGTGAGAAGTAGAAAGTACAGGTATTTGGGTTCAACATGTGAAGAAGTAGAAAGTACAGGTATTTGAGTTCAACATGTGAGAAGTAGAAAGTACAGGTATTTGAGTTCAACATGTAAGAAGTAGAAAGTACAGGTATTTGAGTTCAACATGTAAGAAGTAGAAAGTACAGGTATTTGAGTTCAACATGTAAGAAGTAGAAAGTACAGGTATTTGGAGTTCAACAGTAAGAAGTAGAAAGTAAGGTATTTGAGTTCAACATGTAAGAGTAAAAGTACAAGGTATTTGGGTTCAACATGTAAGAAGTAGAAAGTACAGGTATTTGGGTTCAACATGTGAGAAGTAGAAAGTACAGGTATTTGTGTTCAACATGTAAGAAGTAGAAAGTACAGGTATTTGAGTTCAACATGTAAGAAGTAGAAAGTACAGGTATTTGAGTTTCAACATGTAAGAAGTAGAAAGTACAGGTATTTGAGTTCAACATGTAAGAAGTAGAAAGTACAGGTATTTGGGTTCAACATGTAAGAAGTCAAAGTAAAAAGTCGTCGGAAAAGTCGCCGGAAAAAGAAGTAGTGGAGTAAAGTACTGATACCAGAAAGATGTACTTAAGTACAGTAACTAAGTATTTGTACTGCAATAATTCCCACCTCTGCATATAAATAATTAAATGAGACTCATGATACATTTCTGCGACAGGTGTCTTCCTATTATAATCATTATATGTCCTCCTGTACCTGGCACAGCGCAGCCCAGCACCTCGGCTCGCAGGCAGATGTGTCCCAACGACCCGTTCTGGTACCAGCTCTGAGGATTGATCCGGAGGTAACGGGCCACAGTGGACGTGTTGAAAAGAGCCAGGACCGGAGTCTCAAGGTTCTGGTTCCCGGTGAATATCTGGAAAGGTGGTGAAGCACAGGTGTTCAAAAAGAGCTGGAGGAAGTATTCAGATGCTTGAGTACAAGTATCACTACTATATTGTTAAAATACTTCCTTAAAAGTAAAAGTCCTGCATTCAAAATCTTTCATAAGTAAAAGTATGTCAGCAAATGTACTTAAGGTGTAAAAAGGGAAATTACTTATTGTCCTATATGTGTATATAATTATATTTAGGGTGATTTAGCCTAACGTGGGACACTTGTTGTTTGAAGGTTGCTCCACCCTCATTTGTGATTGGACATTTGAAAAGTCATGTGATTTTGATGAAATGACATCACAGCTTGTTTTAACCCATAGTTTCAATGACTCTCACTTGTTCGAGGAAGACCTACCCCGTCTGGAGCTTAGGTGTCCCACATTAGGGGGTGTCAGGTCGCATTTGACTGCGGTTACAAACTAACCCTAAACCCTGCTAGCATTGGTAGAAAGTGCTCATAAAATAAACACCATCATTATTTGTTGATGGATTTCTTTCTTTTAAATCTTGTGTCCGGTGAAACACAGGTGTTCAGAGGTGGAGGAAGTATTCAGATGTTTTCTTGAATTTTCAAATTTCATTAATTGATCATAACTTTTAAATGTAAATAGTGCATGTTTTTTGTGGCCATGGATTTGTTGGTGTATTTCAACAACAACTACATTATTCTAATCCAGTTTCAATTCATATTTAATCATTATATTCGTATATTTGTACTCATATCATCTCTTAGTAGATAAAACATTTAAATATCTACCGACAAGTCCCTTTTTCTGGTGCTCATAAAATAAACTAAATCACTAGTTGTTGATGCATTTCTTTCTTTTAAATCTTAAAATCATTGTTTTGTCTCATTGCCATCTTCACTCAGATGGCAGGGGCTCAGTCAGTAGGGGCTTGGACTGGGAGCGGACGTGCGTGACTTTGGTCTGAGGAGGAAATAAGTGAATTGTTTGTTTTGTGGATATCTTTTGTTTCGTCAAACTTATAGTTGTGTTTTTTGTTGTTGTTCTGAGTCACCCCCAAACAGCCTTGCTGGCTGGGGGTTTCCCCTGACCTGTGTGTTTTTTTTTCGATCGGACGGATAAACTGGCAAAGAAAACGGGAATGGAATTATCAACTGCGTCACGGATCACGGACATTGACAAATTACAGCAGAGTACGGAGAAAGACGGGACATCAGTGAATGAAAAAGGAATGGAAAATGACAACGGAAATGCGAATGGACAAAATGAAAAAACAGGAGTGGGAAAACAAAAGGAGGTGAGAGAGCTGTTTGAGTTGAATGTGGAGGAGGACAAATATAAAAAGGATCTTACAGTTGTGGTGACGGTGGAGAGTGGAAAAGCAGTAACTGTTATGGATTTGCTAAAAGGAGTTAAAAAAGAATGCGGAATTGTGATGGGGTGTCGGGTGAAAGGAAATGGGCTATATGAAGTGACAATGGCTGAAGAAAAAGGAAAAAATAAACTGTTGGATGGAATACGAATAAATGGGACTTTGGTGCGGGGCAGAGACTGCATGACAAAAGAGCTCACGGTGTCATTCTTAAATATACCTTCGTATATATTGGACAGTTCAATTAAAGGCAGATTGGCAATGTGGGGGGTTCTGCCTGTCTCGGCAATAAAGAGAAGGATGTGGCCCGGCACTGATGTGGTTGATGGGACGAGGTTTTTGAGAGTGGAGTTCAACAAGGAAGTGCGGTCACTTCCTTACTCCACAAGGTTCGAGACTCTAGAGGGGCCGGAATACTTTAGGGTGATTCATGACAAGCAAGTACCGGTCTGCAGGATGTGCATAAGGCCAGGGTATTTATACAGAGAATGCCCTGAGTTTAAATGCCATAAATGTGCGAAACAGGGACACTATGCCCGGGACTGTGTGACTCGGGAGGAGGGGGCGAGCGGAGCCAGGGGGAGAGAAAGTGCACAGGCGGAAAATAAAGTGGAGAATGGAATGGAGGAAGAGGAAGGTGGAAGTCAGGAAGAAAGTGAAGAAGAGGATATACATGATAAGGCTGGGAGCAGGATGAACGAGGAAGCTGTGGCTGCTGTCGCGGCGGTGTTTGTGGCGGCTGATGCAAAGAGGGCAGCTGATGAGGCTGCCATGGGAGGTGGAGGAGATGGAGCGAGGAAGAAGGGGAAAGCAGACGAAGGGAACATGTGTAGTAGCAAAGCAAATACTGCTGCTGTTCCGGCTGCTGTGGACGATGGACAGACTGCGAGGAGTGGTGAAGGTTTGGCTGAGACTGAAGCAGAGGCTGTGGTGGATGTTATTCTGGGGGCAGAAACTGATACCGAGGCTGAAGCGGACGTTGAAGGTGAACCTGATCCTGAGGATGGAGGAGGAGCTGTCGGTGGGAGGAGAGAAGGAGAAGGAGGTGGAGGACAGATGGCTGAGGGAATGGAGGTCAGCTCGGTTGTGTCAGACATGGAGGAGGAGGGAGGAGACGATGAGGAGAACGAGTCTGAGGACGAGGAGGTGGAGATAACAAGGCCCATAAAGGAGAAGATCGTTGGCGGGGCGAATGCTGGGACAAAGAGCAGAGGGATGAGGAGAGAATCCAGCAGGCTAAATGCAAAGAGGAAAGACGATAAGGAGAAAGTGGTGGAGAGAAGACGAGTGAAAGCGAAAGGAGGAGCTGCAAAGGGTCCGGACAAAAAATAAATAGAATGGAAAAAATAATAACATTAATAACACATGTAATGGTGACAATTTCCTCTTTTAATGGGAATGGGCTGAGGTCAAAGGACAGGAGAGAGCAAGCCTTAATAATATGCGATAAATGGTTAAAAGGGGATGTGATTAGAAGACCTGCATCAGAAAAAGTGTGGATGAGTGTTGTGAACGGTATGACTGGCAGGAGAATGTGAAAATTAAGTGGAACAGTATTGAATGTGATAACTTTGATTTTGTGTTGAGGCATAATAGGGTGTTTAACAACCTGATCATTAGTCATTTTGATGCAACTGTTGAGAGAGAGTGTGATGTGTGTAAGGATCAGGTTGAAACGTGTTTGCATGAGTTTGTTGAATGTAAAGAGCTTGTTGGTTTTTTTGGAAGGATGAAAGAGTTAATTAGTAGATGTTGGAATGAATGGTATGTGAGAGAAATGGAATGGAAGGAGCTGTGGCTGTTTGGTGTGATTGAGAAGAAGGATGAATGCAATGTGAATCTTTTAAATTATGTTCTGAGCCATGCAAGGCGTGCGGTCCAAATAAGGAGGAACATTGCCCATTTCGAGGGTAAAATGTCAGAGGTGTGGCATATATTGAAGAGGACAGTAAAAAGGGACATTAACCTTGTACTAATACATGGGGAAAAGGACATATTTTGCGAGGATTTTGTGGATGGCAGCAGGCTAGTTGAGCTGAATGAGGAGGGAGCATTGTGCTTAAACTTTGAACAGAAAACTAAAGGCACACTACCTTTAAGCTAGTGATATGAAAAATTGAATGTGTGTATTATGAGAAATGCTGTATGTGATGAGATGTTAAATGTCTATTTTTGATAATAAAAGATAAAAAAAAAAAAAAAAAAGTAGGCGCTTGGACTGGGAGCTGTAGGGTCGCCGGTTCAAGTCCCCGACCAGACCTAAAATATGGAGTGTTGGAGACGTCCCAGTTCACCTCCTGTCCTGCCGTGGTGCCCTTGAGCAAGGCACTGTTTCCATTATTCACCAAATACATGTTCAGACCAGCTGTGTGTTCGCCAATAAAAGATTATTTCTAGGGCTCCAGGAAACCATTTCTATGATATATGTTTCTTAAAGGTGGGGTAGGTAATTCACTTCAGAAACACTTGTTATATTCCATGGAATGCTCTTAACATCGCGATAGCAATGAATACATTAAGTGCTTTGACAATAAATACAAAAATATCATCTGTGGAAGCCGTGGTGCTGCAACAAGCTCGACCAATCATCGGCTAAAGTAACTGGATGGCCTACCTGCCTGTCAGCCTTCCATCTGGGCACACACTGATCTCGTGCCCTCATTGGTCATGTGTGCGTTCAGTGTGTGTTGGAGGAGGGGCTCTGTGAGGAAGGGGCAGGTTTTCTCCGGGTTGTGTATTTTCAAATTCTAGCGCACTCGAGCTGCTTTCTCCATTCTTACCCACCCCACCTTTAAAAGAGTCACAACCTCCATCACAGCAAAACTATGAAACAGCTCATTCTCTTATAGGGCTAATATGTCCATTTATATATTTAAGTTATTTGATTAATTGAGTACAAATAAACCAGACAATAGTGTGTGGGATCCTGTAATCCCTGATTTCATTCACCAAATACATCTTCAGATAAGATCAGATAGGACTTTATTCATCCCTGAAGGAAATAGTTGTGTCAGAGTTACAAAGATACAGTAACCACAGCAGCATCCCACTGTCCACTAACAGAGAGTCATTTTGGTTTAAACGGCAACCATCCGGCTCAACCGTCCCCTCCAGACTCCAGCAAAGGAACACAGGAACACTTCTTTATCTTCATATATCGGTTTTATTGAAAGGGCTGTAGTTTGCAGCTCGTTGAAGACTCCTCTGAAGACTCCTCAGACGTCCTTCCTGGTCAGAGTCTTCCTCACCTTGTCCTGAAGTGTCTGCAGGAAGTAGACGATGTTCCTCTTTTTGTTTTGCTCCGAGACTCCCAGCCGGGGCCAGGAGTCGGACTTATTGCCCAGAGATCCAATCACCTGCTCGTTCATCATCCTCCTGTAATCCTCCATCACCGCCTCGTACTTCTCGACAGATTCGGCCCGATCGGCGGCAGCTTTGGCGTCACTTTGCACTCTGATCACGTGACCCATCCCCCAGGAGGGAGGAGGGAAGACCAGGGACTTCAGAAGGAGCTTCACCGCCTCCTCCACGAACGAGTACACCTCAAAAGAGTCAAAGTCAACTTCATTGTCAATCTTTCAGTTTGTGAGTACAAATATACAAATATGTATACAAATATCCTATATATACACAATCAACAGACACATGTATATGTACATATGCACACTTTAAAGGTTCCCTATTATCCTGTTTTCCATCAGTATATCCCAGGTCTCAGATATATCCAGAGCCTGTCTCTGATTGGCTGAAACACCAAACAGATCATTGCAGCATTACCCATAATCCCCTCTGTTTCAGCCCTGTTTCCAAAGTGCTGATTCTCTGTCTGTTACTTTAGATGAAAACAAGGAGCCCCTCCCCACGCCCCTCTGAGAGACATTTGGTTACAAAGAACTCAATGGAGCTCTAGAGGAGATTCAGGTGATAAGGGGGGGTTACCTTGGTTGCTGATTGGCTAATGGCTACACAAGACAACACATCGTTATGACATCATAAAGTGGCCCAAAATCTGATCAGCTCATTTTCAGACAGGTTTTTATAGAAATGGATCAAAAAGAGAGAGAATCTTCGTGTTCCTGAAACTTTCAGAGTCTCTTTCCACAG